TGGTTTCCGTTTCGACTGTTATCCCGGAAGACGATTCCTTCTCGGAATCAGTTTCCTCCCTAGGCTTCTCAACGAGATCGATTTTTTGAATATTCACTTGCTTCTTAGAATCAAGTGTATCGGTCGAATGATCATCGATTTTGTCATTCTTCTCGGATTCTTGATTTCCCTTGAAAGTAGATTCCGCGTTGTTGGTCTCCATTGCTTCATCAACGTTCTCCTTATCGTTGCGGGAATCTGCTTTATCAATCGTACGAGTTGATGTCTCAGATATCTCTGTCTTATCTACTGCGGATTTAGTGTCCTCTACGGTATTTTGTGCCATTGTTATATTGAGTACTTTTAGAAAACTCTTTTTGACATATTAATTATGGCGAATTTGTGTTGCGAATGCTTTTAGTACATTAAATGTACAGTCATTGCTATACCATGAGTACGCCGCAGCAAATAAAACGCGTTTTCAGAAGTTACCTTCATTCTGAATCCGTATATTGGCCGGTTCCTGTAATGAAGAACAGCGTTTGTGAGATTTATGTTATAAAACTTATAAAAAAATATATATACATATAGATGTTTTATTAACGAGCGCTGTCTACTCGGTCGGTAACTGGCGCCGCAAACGTACTGTCGGGCTTCGAGGTTAGAAAGCATCCTATATTATACAGGGAAGTCTTCCCTAATTTTGCAAATTTCGACGTTGCTGTTCATTCTCGTGAGACACTAAACATGTGCAGATGTTCCAAAAATGACGTTTCGCAGCTTTTAGCACATTCTTACGATTATGACGCAATATTGCACTACCAGCTCCTAATATTTAATGATCATGTCCAATGCGTCAGTGAGTATTCGCGTGCGTATTAATACCTTTCATATGGAATTTGCACGTAAACTTGACAGCGGAGCGACGAAATATCAATGGAATGTTTTTCCGCGCAAATGACGCCTCAGCAAATTTGTCACCATTTTCGACCAGAAGACAGCGATCGTTTATCCGAAAAACAGAATTTCGAAAACAATAAAGCGACTTTTATCACGTTTGCATGATTGCAGGTTGCGGCGTCTTCAACGAATCGCTTATTTTCTCCGCGGAGTACTCGTCCGTCCCGCATACCTTTTCAACGTAGGCAAAATGTTCACGCACTTGCCGCATTCGCCATACTGCTCCGCAAAAAGTTCAATAGTCCATCGAATTGCAAATCCGTTTAGAACCGACGAGAATCGACGTCGAAATAACACGCATAACTCATGACGACTCACTTAACCTCTACGCGAGATCAACTGACGTCCGCTGCGCGCGTCACAATAGGCGTACCGAACTCTCGCTGAAGCGCGCGCGAAAACAGCGGCTTTGTTTTGATAAGCGAGGCGTTTACGGAAACGTACGCTACATAAATATACGTTACAGGACTAACCTCGCTTGCGGCCGGACGCGTTCCGGGCTGTCTCTTTCTCGAAGCAAGCTGCGCGCGACGTGTCAGCCAGCAGACGTCGATCGAGTTCTCATCTCCAGCGACGAGGACGGCGATAGCTCCTGTTCGTGTCGTAGAAATGGCAAAAGGAGAACACGAGAAAGACGATAAGTAGGAAAGAGAGAGAGAGAGAGCGAGAAAGATAGACGGGCGAGGCGCGATCTCTTCTTAACGAAATACTACGGCGCCGAGCAAAAATGAGAACGCGAGATCTACATGCGCGAGGATGGTGACCTCTTCTCACTGCCGTCAACTGCAGCGAGAGAAAACGAATACTCGATATACGATACACAGGGCGTCATGAACGCCTTACTGCGCTGCTTACGACATCTAGTACGCACCGGTGTCGCGAGCTCCGCAAATCACTGTGGAAGCACTGTTGCCAACCAGATCCACTTTCTGCTGCACCAGAGAGAAGCATGAGAGCGGCCACCAGCCTGATTTCAATGGCCGGAGCTAGGCGCATTTCCAAACGCTATCTAACAAAGTGCGCCTTTACTACGTTCGTTAGGAGCAGGAATGGGTAATATGCGCGACAGAAAAATATTATGCACAATTCTGCGCATAATATGCATAAAATGTCTATTATGCGCAGAATACGCAGAATATGCAAAAAACATGCAGAAAATGCAGAAAACCCCTGAGACACGCTCATTCTAACCTAAAATAACATTTCTTCCTTCAATATATAGTTCCAGGCAGCTTGCACTTTGTCTTAATACCACCCTACGATTTGAAAAGAGATATTGTGCACCACCGAAACGGTACGATTTCGCCAAAAAATAAATAGTTCGAAAAAAATTCTAGGGACATGTACGTATTCTCAGATGGTCGAACCAAACCTTTTAAAATAATCTACCCATCAAATCAAAGATCGCGTTAAATTACTCGCAGGGAGAATTTTTTCTGAGTACCATTACCGCTTGAAAAATTTGTATTTGTTTTGATTAAGAGATTTATTTGCAACGTCAAAAAAAAGGAAAGTAGAATATTCCAAGTGTTAATGCATTCCGAAAAATTCTTCCAGTGTAAAAAATATCGCGCTTATTTTTTCTTTATCCTTCAAACTTCTTCGCTCAAATCGACATCAATGCACAAATCTAATCGACGAAATTGCATTTTTTTGTTCCAGAAACGAAAGCAGAATGTGGCTACCCTGATCGGCGGTTTGGTGAGTCAAAATAAGAAACATATTGATAATAGCAAGACAAAGTCTTTCGATATAGTGCATACTTATGAATCAATGCGATTTACTTTGCTGTAGTGTAGTATGCGTATGTGCCGTCCAATAAAAAGCACCCTGCTCGAATCATTTGAAAGATCGCTTTTTCAAAGAATAATTTAGTAATGCATATTCTGAATAATTTAGTAATGCATATTCTGCATAAATTTGGCAAATAAATTTTCAAGTACTTTTCTCCCAATGTACATATATTTATTAATTGATTAATTTAGAGTATTTATTGGACAACGATTCTTGTCGGAGGAAATTTTGATTAAACAAACCCCAACACTATTTGGTAGATGCTTAAAGTATTGAATATACGTTCTAAACATTCAAAATTTTGTAAAACTATTCAGTTTTATTGAATGCGATCTTTTAGGTGTCTTAAGCAGTGCGCCAACGCGCGAAGAGATTGCGCCACAAGAAATACGCATTATATCACCCGCATTATAGATCTTCCGCCGGTCGTTAATTTTCTCAATTTTCTCTCTCGCGTAAGTTTGAATCGCGATTGCATTTCATAAAGTAGAGTTCATGGTTTTTTATTAAATAAAATTTGATATTGTGTGGCACCTGCGCGAAGCAATCTAACGTGATTATACAAACTACTCGCAAAATTTTACAATCGTCGGGAAATTTAATTTTTCGCTTAGAATTAGAATTTCCTAACGTGGGACACGATAGAGATAATGATAGCAAGCGTTGATACCTCGCGAAAAACGCGATGTACACAAGTCAGACAGGCGAGCAGTTATTTGTTTACTTACATGACGTGCGACAAGTTCCATCGAACAAAGACAGACGTCTCACGCGAGTATTAAGTATATTCGCCATATTGGTGTTCGATGCTTAATATTCGATGCTCATTGGTCCATACGATCTTATGCTATGCATATGCAGTTATGTCAATTTGTGTGTGATGGCCTTAAGAGTCTGTCATGTTACTGGAGGATAGATCATGTAGCGTTAAGATGTAGAGAACATTCTGGGAGAGTTTTTTGCAGTTTTTTAAAGTAACATTCGTGCTTGAAAAGGTGTATTTTCGGAAATGATGTAAAGCGTGCGTATTTCGCTCTGCTCGGCTTCCGGATCACAATGTGTGTTACTGTCACTCTACTCCCTCAGTAACACGCTCAGTATTTTGAACATAATTTCCCATTATCCTAAGTTCGCATTCATAACAGTGAATCCAACTTAACGTCGTAGGAATTATGGAGAACATTGTTTCCTTTGAATCACATTAATATCATTTGTGGCTGCAAATAAATAAGCAAAAAATATGAGCTACATGTTTAAATTTGTATATTTATTTATTGTTTCATATTATCCATTTTCCAAATTCTTTTTCCTTACAAAATTACGCAGGACGCAGCGCGAGAAAGACGAGACTAATAAGAAATGATCTAGTTTTGCGATAAGTTCGCCGCTAACTAGCTTCGTGCCTACTTTGCGCGACCAGCTCATCAGTGGTGCGACAAGAACAGAGCGATTGTACTTCTGTCCTTTTCATAGACATAATATATCTAGGCCGAGCGTTTGCCTTTATTTGAGAAGTGGAGGTAAGAGTACGTAGATAAGGATGCATTGCGTTTTGAGACCCTGCGTCCTCTCTCATTCGCGCATGTGTATAAGCGTATGTGTAAAAAAGGTTGTGTTACAGAGATGCGCGAATGAGAGAGAACGCAGGGTCTCAAAACGCAATGCATCCTTTTCTACGTGCCTCTTACCCCTACTCCTCAAGGCTCGATCTAGATATATTATGTCTATAGTCCTTTTCTAACTTACTGTCATTGTACGGAAGTACAACGGGCACGAATCAGACGCAATTTATCGTTACCAGCGCGAAAATACACTTAACGAACGTAGTAAAGGCGCACTTTGTTAGATGGCGTCTCGAAAATGCGCCTAGTTCTGATCACTAAAATCAAGCTGGAGGCCGCTCTCAGGCTTCTCTCTAAATGTACCGACAGTACTATTGAAAACCACTATTGTTGCGATATTTTCAAACAATTGCGGAACTACTGGTGGCGCGACGGTTCGACTTCGACAAACGTTCCGCGATTCCTGCGATTTCGACTCGTTGAAGGTGAGTCGAGGCACGAGTTACCGTCACAAATGCCGAATATAAACCTCGCGTGTCTGTCGTAGTGAAAAGATGTTGAACAGTCGCTGATAATAAATATCTTACAGTATAGAATGTCGACACAGTGCTGGGAATATTGTCTGATATCTATAACGCTATGATGATTCGAAGTTAAATCACCGTTTATGTTTTCGACCTATTTGGAGAGAATCTGCCACGCAAATTATCGTCCAAAGTATTGAAAATTTATTTCATGCATTTGTTACAAAATATTGCCAGAAAATCGTCAAAAGAATCGTCGCATATCGGGTAATCGTAGATATTAAGTAAAATTAAGTCGGTTTTTCGAAGATTTCGATTTCGCTATAATAATGTAGCGGCAGTTTGGATCGCTCATTTGCAATCTCGGCTCGTTAAGAGCGAACTTCACGCACGGATTATCGTCGCTAGAAATGCCGAGGTTAGCTCAGTTATGCTTTTATTACGGAAGTGTTACTCAGATCTCTGTTAGAACTATCGAGAATTGTCGACAGAACTGCGAGAAATGGTCAACACCACACTTTTTCCAAGTGTCGCATTAACTTCGAAGATTAAAAAATAATTTAAAAATAGGTAGCGGTGCGCCGGAACTTTTCTTAAATTTGATCGTAGAGATTGGAATTCTGTTAAAATCAGCGAGAAGTATCAATAGAACGAAGTTTATGAAAAAGGTGGTGCGCGTCGCACGTAAAGCTCGTAGTTCGAAACGTTGTTTTTCACGTTTTCGGCCCATCGATGAGATGAACTCGACTGTAAGTCTCACGCGTTCGCCGTAAGAAGAAATCGGTAAATCCATCGGGAGTGAAATCTCGCAAAAAGTGTTATTGGAAAGTGCCGCGCAGTGTCGTCCATTTACCATGTTATAATGGTTGGAAGTTCAGCATCGTCGTCATCATCATTGCATCGACGCCTCGAGAGGAAGGATGCAGAATCCAAAGGAGCAGAATATCTACAGCGTATCATCTCCGGTGACGATTGACGGAGATGCAGCGAGCCGCGCCAAATAAGTGATAGCTGTAATTATACAAATTAACGGTCTGTCGAGTTTTCTGCGAGACACGTCGCTAAACTCAAGCTGCAGGCTTGAAACCGTTTGTCAGAATTCGGGATATTTTTCGGAGTGTGAAGGAGAAAACGTTCTTTAGTAAATTACAGGAGAGACACGACTCTGTGGTGGTCTCGTATATTTACAGATTACTCATAGTCCATAATCAATAGTAATCATATAATATGTATATATCAACAAAATATTTTAGTCGTTCTTACGCGTCGCTAACAAAAAAAAAGAACTAGAGACTAAACAGTCGCAGGGTCGCGATTCTAAGAATCGGCTTCTGCCTGGCCGCGCGAGTCATCGCGACTACGTTCGCGCGCGCGCGCGATCACTCTACCTAACAAATAAATAAACAAACAAGTACAAATCTATACATTCCGCGCGTGTATCGCGCTAGTGAGAGTAATGGTGATTAATATTGTAAGCCACGGTCGACAGATAAACGAGGCGCACGTCACGTTGCTTGTCGACAGCTCGTTCATTTTCCGAGTGAGTCCAGAAACTGAATTGGAAATAATTCCTATTCTTTAGTCTTGAAACACTTTAATCCTGGAGCGAAAGCGTCGCTGACACGTGTCAGCTTTTCATATCTTCCTTCTCAAGGTTCCGTTTTGAAATACACGCGATTGAGGGGAATTTACGTTCTAATTATATTCCGTTGTAATTTTATTCCTGGTAAAGGACACGAGAGAGAATAGGAAACGCGAGAGATTTAAGGGGATTCCGTACGTTATTTCGACTGACATTCGTAGTGCGCCAACCACTTTGTTTTCGAGACACGACCGCTCATGGACAAAAAGTTGTGTTAATAGTCGTTACTTGAGACTCGTCTTAGGTGAGATACTCAAATTTAAATTTAGAGTTAGATGTGAATCTTTCAGCTAAATCGCGATTGCAGATATAATGTCGCGTATATTGTGTGATTCAAATAAAAAATTCAAATTTAACTCTAAATTCATATCTGTTTATCTCACGTCGGATAAGTTTCAATTGATTAATGACTATTAATACGGGCCTAAGACTCCTGGTCTTTCGCCGTGTAACTCTAGATTGATGTCAGAAGCAAGAAATGACAAACTAAAAAATTTTTGCGTACCATTTCCAAATAAAAAGATATTAGTGTGAAAAAAAATGTAAAATTAATGTGACTTGCGAAGAACCATAAAATTAACGTAACGTAATCTTTTCTTTCTACACGGAGAGAATATTGTAATAAAAATTACAATACAATTTTAATACTCCGGTGATAGACTAGCACTATGAAAATTATAATAAAACATAGTAAAAATAATCATGAACATAATACAAATCACCATAAATGTAGTAAAAATTATTATGTTTATGATCTCTCATGTTTACTATAATTTATAATTATTATAATTTTTATTATAATTTTTTAATATAATTTTTATTATAATTTTCGTAATAGTGTCAATCTATTCCCGGTCTGCTAAAATTGCATTATAATTTTTACTATAATATTCTTGTATCTTTTCTTTTGATCTTGCCATGGTTATCTTATTGCTATCTGTTGACTGTTAAGGAAAAAGGATCGTTTTTTCGGCACATTTTACAAGTCAACTGATTTAAAATGTTCTTTCACACAAACATCTTTTTATTTGAAACTAGCACGTTAGAATTTTCAACGTGTTATTTCTCGCTTCTTACATCATGGCTATGACGACTATTCAGTCTTAAATAACATCTGTCAGATGTCGTAAAATATTATACTTATAGATCAAAACGCACAATTGTCGTATTGACGATTCCTTCCTTTTCACTGCTTTTGAATATCCAAATGTTATTGAAATTTTCAATGCCGAAAAAATAACAATGCACAAATTATAATTGAAGAATGTTTTTTTTACTGTATTAAATGTTACTATATCAAATGTAATTAGCACATAATGCGGAGTCGAAATTTTGATTTGAATAAGTTGTTTAGAAGAAAACTCATAAACAAGTCCAATAGCTGTTTATGTGAAGTTAGCTCCGTATTTTCAAAATTGAAAAGAAATGATAAAAGTTTTGTTCCTCCTCTTCTTTCGCCTGTATAGTTCTAGTGTTCCCGATCTATTTTAGAAATAGTTCCGGCGATTAAAGCAGTCAAAACGCCACTTGAAAAAAGGAGAGCCAGATTCACATGAGAAGTGAAAAATTGTCTAATCATTTCTTTTTAATTTTGAAAATATGAGACTAACTTCACATAGGTTTCGTAGTCTAGCTTTGATCTCAGACTTTCACTTGATTCGGAACGAGGTGAAGAGATAGGCTACGATTACATGTATTATAGACAATTTTTCTCGCTAATGCCGGTCTGTCTTTCTCATTCTCGCTCTCGCGATAGTTTTCTACATGGCGCGTATCGTCTTACCGATGACGAAACGGGGACAGAACGGTCGTTGTCTTTGTTTTCCACCGCAATGGTGTGTGCCACGCGGTCTGTCGTCGTAGTCGTCGTCGTCGTCATGATGGAGACGTGTTACGCGTGTCATGTCTACGTGCACGTCAAAGACCTGTCTTACAACGAGGTCGTCGTGCATACCACGGTAATAATCGCGTGCGTTTCCTACGGAATTGGAACGCTGCTCGTCGTCACGTCGTTGGACAATCGCCTGCGTTATCTGCGACCGTGGACACGGCGTAATCGGACACCAAACGCATCGTCCGTCTCGCATACTCGCGTTTAAAGCACACCCGGTATCAGTTGCGCCTCGATTAATTTATTCTGGTTCGTCTCTCGTTGGTTAATAATATTTTCTCTTCTATCTCCTTTTTTTCTCCCCCCTTTCCGTGCTCTAGCCGGAACTATGATGCAGATCAGAGGATAGAGACCGGTATAAGGTAGAAATTTAAAGTCAATGGGAGCGCGGGACGCGGTTATAAAAAATTTCGATCGCACCCTCGTACACGATATTCTTTGGTTCTGACGAATCCTTTTTGTCTGGATATTGATTTATTTTTTTTTGTCGAATGCTCACACAGCTTTCGAAATCGATATCATTTGCTGATAAGTTCGATTCTCCTCGACGCTGCGGAGAAAAGAACCTCACGCCAGACGTCGCGTTTTGTTCCCTCGCGAGTAAACGAACAAAGGTCTTTGTCGTGTACACTTCGAGTTCCAAAATTATACCGGTATCGATCCTCCGATAGAAATATAAAAAAAAACTCGATTAATCACACGATTAACGTTGATCAACGTCGTCGCCAACGACTGACGCTCGGCGGCCTCGATCAATTAACACGACCGTGACGATTTCGCGTCGCTCTCTGACTCACAACTCTGATCGTAGACGGAGCAGCAGAGAAAGAAAGAGTTCACTCGATCATCTCTGGTTCGTCGCTAAGGGCTGATTTCACCAACTCCGCTTACGGTCAAAATCTGACCGACGGTGTCAGGGCTCCAACTGATGGACATGAGTACTTTGTCATTCTTATCCATTAGAATTTTCAGTTGAAACCCACGTCAGCTTTGACCATAACCGGAGTTGGTGAAACCGGTCCTAAATCGACGCCGTGTCGATAAACTCGCGACTCACCGAAGTCCATATCAATAGTCGTTGTTTAAAACTTGCTCTATGTGAGATATTCAGATCTGAGCTTAGAGTTAGATTTGAGTTTTTTTTATTTGAATTGTATATAATATATGCGGCATTATACATTTGTAACAGCGCGAAGCTGAAGAACTCACATCCAAATCTGAGAGCTATATTAATAGTCGTTACTTGAGTTTGTCTCACGTGAGACAGTCAGATTTTTATTCAGAATTAGATTCAGTTTTTCAGTTGAATTATATAATGTATGTGACATTATGTCCGTATATGTATATCGCGATTCAACTGACAAATTCTCATCTAACTCTGAACTCAAATCTGAGTATCTGATTTGGGAGAAGTTTCAAGTATCAATTATTAATACTAACTTCAAGTTTCTCTCTGGATATCTCACCTGAGGCAAGTTTCATGTAACGACTACTAATATGGACCCATGTCATCGAGGAATCCTCTTCGTCGAGCGGCCGAGCGTCGGATTTTGCCCCGAAGAAACGCTAATCGTTATCGCCGTCTCTCTCGCCGTATGCGCACGTGTCTATCTCGTTCTCTCTCGCATGTGTGCACCGTACAAAACGCCTTTTCTCTACTTAAACAGACTATCTACACGTCTTTGTCGTGGCTCTCCTCCTCTTGTCCTGCGTCTCGCGTTCGCTCTTTTTTATTTATCGAATAGCACCCATTCTTGTCACGCGAAGCTACGCTTTTTCTTGTTTTCTTTTTATATCGTTCCGCCTCATCTTATTCAACTTCCTTCTTCTCCTCCGCGCATTTCAATCCTTTGCATATATACATTTTGATATAACACAGAGAGAAATATACACGAGCGTTCTCTAAGCAAAGAGTAAACGATGAGGTTTTGTATGTGTATGTATGTGTGTTGCGCGGCAGCGGTTTATTAAACCATTTTGATAATTTCCGCAAAAGAGGCGGATCGCACTCGTGCGGAGGATCACAAAGGATTTCATCGTGCGCTTTTATCCTGTCGTTTTGGCCGAGTTTACACCGGTGACACGCGCGACAACGCCGAGTCCTCCGTCGACGAATTTTATTTCGCAACGCGACCGACACGGGATTAGATAAGGCCAGCGCGTTTACGCAATAATACCGCAGTAGTCATTCCCGGTGGAACGCCAGAGCGTGACTATATTCGAAATAGTCTCTCTCTCTCTCTCTCTCTCTCTCTCTCTCTCTCTCTCTCTCTCTCT